TTGTGCAACTGTGTTCGTACATCTGAGGATGACCTCTTGAGGTCGAAACATGTAGTGTGACAGTAAATAAAAAACGTGTTGTGTGGTCGGTAAAATTAACTCTAATATTAGCCATATACATACACACGTATATCTCTGACAACCTAATTCATACCCACAGGAATTACCGTATTATTTTGAATATATGACGCACATTTTACACATGCTTTCCCGTTGAGAAACTGAAGTGCCTTAAACTCAAGGAATGTTTACCTTTCCTGATTTGTTTCCTCTAACCCACATTCAAAAACTGTGTCTTAAATTCAAGAGCATCTTACATTCCAAGTAATACAGTAATTACTTTTGTACTCAACCAAAAGAAACTTTCCACTACTGCTGTAAAAAATGAAGAACCCTCCAAGGAAACCGAACTCCTATGAATGAATACCTGGGCCACATTATAACCTCTATGATTTATGACAAAATGAGACCACATAGCACAGTCAATGTAGTGACCAGGGTAGATGGTGGAGAGAAGAATCAGAGTACCTTTCCTAGCAAAACATAAAACTGCTCTCTACTACACAGCATCTGGAGTCTCCCCAGGCTTCAATGTATACTGAGGTTCTATCCCTATGGGTTATATCAACTGGCCAGTCCATGGTGCTGACCACTCACCTCTACCTAGTGTCAGGGCTAAGAATGTGTGGAGCTATACCTCAACTTTTCCATGTCTTCACAGCAGTCTTTATTAAGCATAATGACAGCTTTATTTTATTATTTATGCAAAGCTGCAAATGTCACTGTCTCTTTACACTGAATATGGGCTACCAAACAGGCACACAGACTTATGTATACCCTAATAGATTATTCGCTTTTAGAGTAATTCTAGATCGCATACGCAATCCGTTTCTAAAGTAAAAAAAAAAAAACTTTTACTCACATTATATGCACAACACATGGATGCCCCGAAGCAACTGGAAATTTTACAATTATCTGCAGTTTCATCTTCAAAGACATTCACAATGATAGTAGCACCGCCACTGTTTCAATCTAAACCCGATCACGTTCAGTGTGCCCACCCTCAACAGAACGACAGCAAAGACTTGGTTTCTTCAAACATCGAATACTGGCCTCCACTAAATTTGTGCGCGGACTCCGCGTGGGTTACGTTGATTATCAGCGCAATTGTCGACTTCCAGCTGACGTAAACAAATGATCACGATTCACCTTGGACCCGGAACATATCAAGCCTAAGCTTGCCTCAACATACCAGCAGCCTTCTTTACGAGGAAGCCGTTTCAAGTACAGGTGCCAAAAATCAAACAAGAAACAGAAAATTAGAGCCCTGTAATGATGAACCCTTTCTGCGCACCTTCCACAAATATGTAAGGTTAGAGTTTTCTCATAGCAGTACTTTCAATAAGCTGACGACGCACCACAGCTCCATACGGACTGCAACCTAAGAGACCTCTTAAATAACGCTCCACAACTACAAACTAGATATTCCTCGCCCTTAAATAACTAGGCGGGTTACAAATTACACAAAAACGCACGGACAACGCACAAAACCACAACATTCAATCTCAATTAGAACAAAACAACTATCCTCCAAAACTACCAGCAGCACATCCGAGCAAGATGACGATCTACTCATCCCTACTACGGGGCCCCCACCTCAGGGCCACTCGAGCGTCATCGCAAACAAGGAGATAGGAATCCGCAATCGGACATATACCATTTCTCCCGTCATAATTGTGCATGTCAAAACCGTTTGGGTGTGAGAACACCCATGAGAACCGTAATAAATTCTACCGCCGAAACACCACGTAAATACATTCTGCGATCGGTATTTGAACATGGTCCTAAAATCGATTTTAAGCCCTGTTATGCACACTGTCCAGCATATGAAGGCAGGTTAGGAGTCTGATCACTCCAAAATGCAGTATAGACCTTCGTCGCAAAGTACTGATGGCCAATACGTGACAACAAACCGACAACATTACATCCCAGATGCACATTTACATTCGATAGAATGGGCTGACTTCTCGAAAGCCGCAAACTTCGTTCGCACTGTTTGATTTGTGGTTCTCATGGCGAATATTATAACGAGAACTATCGTCTAGGATATGAGCTCGTGCAGTCTCGTTATGTTCACAAACGTTTCGGAGAAATGTACCGCTTCTGCCTACTAAGCTGAAGAGCAAGCTAAACAAGCAACGATTTTATTTGTATTTTTTCCAATAAATTTTTTTCGCCTGATACTGAAGACGGTACACCCCATATTATACATACTGCTCCCAAACACGCCGTAAAGATTATATATCCGTCCATGTTAACTGAAAACGCGTTTCCGTCGCAGCTAGTAGCAGATTCAATTCCATCTGTCTGTGCTGCAAGTCGAACATGAGGGCGAGTTCATTCAAAAACTCGAACTCTGTAACAAAGCATGGTCAAGTTGTAGAACATCACTATCATTCAGAATTACTGGCTTTTTACACTGTTTCCATCGTCCATTATTCTAGAAACTAGAAAACGCGACGTTTCGGAAACTGGACCTTTTACAGTCTTCAGGTTGGGGGAGGGGGGGGGAAGACACGTACTCAGTTGGGTCCCTTACGAGTTAACCTCTAGCTCTTTCTAAGGGACCCAACTGCGTAGGTGTCTTCCAGTCACATGAGGACGAAAACATATCCAGTTTCCGAAACGTCGTGTTTCCTAGTTTCTAGAATAACGGACGATGCAAAATCCAAAAACTCAGTAAATCTAAGTGCTATAACACCATCGTTCGATCATTTAGAATCGACTCATCACTATCATGTTTGCTGGTTAGTTAAATTAAAAGTCTGGACAACAAATCAATAACCCTAACTGCATACTGTCAAAACTGGGAAGATGCTGGTTGGCAACGTCTTTCCGGGAAACAAAACAAGTGGCCAAATTATACTAACGGCATGACAAACGGGTCAACTAAAATGCGAGGTGTAAAAGTTCGGCAAAACTAACGCCTACAATGGAAATGGTGGATCGTGGTTTTACAAATATCGAAAGAACGGAAAAAAAAAACATGCCACACCTCTGCCGCCATTGAATTCCTCTTGCCGCTTCAAAAGTGGAACCACAGAGCGGCCCCGCAAGGCGCACAGTTCGCTTGGCTGGGCGACAAAACTTCGCCCGGGCAAATAAGCAGAAGGCCGCCAGAGGAGTGTGCGGGGTGGAAGCCTGTTGTCAGTCCGCAACGCACAGTCGGTTCTAGATAGCCTTATCCCATGATGCAGCTGGCTGCGGGCAAAGTGCCAGCTGGCGGGCTGGCGTGATCATGCGCGTTTGACCGAGTGAAAACGGGACGCAAGAAGAGCAACAAACAACAGCAGTAATACGCTGACGTCATCACAAACCACCAAAGAGGTCGGCGTAATTTTGGAGACCCAGTTCATAGGTAAAATACAAATACTGGTTGCAATGTGACGCAATTCAGGGTCCAAATCAGTTGCACAATCCTTCTTGATTGGCAACTTCCGTTCATGAAAGAAAACGGGCACTCATCTGTCTCGCTATGTCCCGGCATCCCATTCACTCCATTACTGTAATTTCCTTGGTTACGCCCCCACGTTCATCACTCTTAAAACAATTCCTGACGTAATGTCTCTGCAACGTTTCGACATCAGACGCTAGTTCATCGTTATCACAAAGCAACAGTACGTTCCTCGCACATGTACACCTGCAAATATAGTCTTCATGTCAGAAACTTGGTCAGCCAATTTGGCGATACGCATATCTTCCAGAACGAAACTTTCAAATCCTGCTGGCCTCCCTTGCAAGCTTTGTCCCACAAACAACTGCTTCCTGGTCGAGGGCACGTAAACGTTATATTATTCCTCATGTTCCAAGATGAAAGTGGCTCAGAACGAACACGAAGTTACTCCCTGCAGGTGGAAAAATAAGTACGGCAACCTAGCACTGGCACCAGAGTTGCCCAGATTGCAATGTTGCCACACACACACCCAGCTTTCACTACAAACTTCGCAACATATTACTGGATTCCCATCACAAAGAAGTTCTTCAGATGTCTACGGTACATATCATATTCTCCTTTGCAGTCCACAGGCTTGAATTGCATTAACTATATAATTTATGACTTCTACCACCTAACGAACTGTACCGTATCTGGCAATGTCGCTCTCCATACCTTTCCCCTCCCGCGGCTATCGTACAGGGAGGTTGAATGAATCGATACGGGGGAACGACGAAGGCAAATTTGAACCTTTAGTCCCACAATACATAAGGGCGAGTTTCGAGGCTCTATGTGTATAAAAATAGACGGAACGTACGCTCACCTTATAGGTGCACTTCGATTTCGTTGTTCAAAATATTTCTAAAGCGACCGCCAGTGAGTAAACAAAAACGTTCCACTGCAATTCAGTCCTACATACAAGTAATACTACATGCTGCAGTCCTACCTTGTGGATATACATTACTCTGCTAAAGCTGACTATCAGGATTTTGTACCCCGGTTTCGGCAGACCGGTGTTCCAATTACAGATTGGGGATTCATTTCCTTACTTCCTCCCTAGCTCAGAATTTCGCCCCGCCTTCTTTTTGTTTTTCTGGTTCCTCCAGTTCCTCCCTGTCACCAACAAAACGACCTCTTTCTTAGCAACGTTCGTTTAGTAACCACACTTGGCAACATCGCGACAATGCATTAAAAATCTTCAAGAGCGAGCCAACATCAGTAAACTTAACCTCGCGTCAAAAACAAAAAAATGAAACGTTTCTTATACCGCCCTAAAAATCAACACTGAAATGTATAGAATAAAGCGATCTTTATAAAGCAAATCAAAATGTATAACCTCACCAATAACACCAAGTCAAAAGTTTTGTAAAAAGTATATCATACGAAATGACCTAAAACCACTAGGAATCTGAAAATAACGTGACAGGCTCGTAATTAACAATATTACGTTAGCAGACGACAATATACCTCCAGCTACTACAATAAAATGTCTGAATACATTCCTTACCTCGTTTATATTGAGTTCCACACTACACACTATTTCACACGAACTCGAATATGCAGTTCTCGTACGAAGAAATAAGAGCAAATCACTTTTTCCAACAAACACAGTTTATTCATCTTCCCTCGCGACGTTTGAGCAGGTGACCGTATGCGGATCATGGCCGAAGTACACATTCAGCGCACGAAGCAACAACGCCAGGTCGGGGCCAAGTGTTTGGACTCGTCCAGTCCGGATATCATTCGTCATTATGAGCTACTGCTCGCCGCGTACTGATGGATGGCCTTTCTTTAAATAAACACTGCGAATTTCTAAGAATGTTACAAGTAGCAATAATTACACATTCTTTTACTATTTTTAACTATATTATAAAGTGCACACAACGTACATCCTAGGCATGTTACGTCATACACCGTAACAAAACCTCAACCAAAACATTCCACTATACCGTGCACCCCTTAGCTTGGCTTCAAAGTGGACTATCCCAATACCGACAAAGTCCTCAACTATGAAACACTCGCCCACTTTAAAGCCCTCGACACCACAATGTAATTTGCTTGATCAGTGATCGACAGAGATACAAACATGCGTAAAAACCAAGTTAAACTGTAAACCTGAAAGACGCATATGCTGAAATCATACTCTGACACTATGCCAAAAACAGTCAAATTTACAACTACAAGACGATTTGGTGTTTTTCTGTTCCTTGTATAAACACGAAAATTATACCCAAATTATAAGCACACTAACCTACGACAGAAACGAGTGTTCCAGTAATCCATTTTAACTATTATAAAACAACTCTGCAAAACAACTGGGCAGTATCCGAAAACAAAAATTAGCCACAGTGTTTCATCGGGCATCTTTCCCAACTGAACAATGTTCTGTGTAAGCACATGTCATGACATTTACCTTAATACTTTCACTGATGAGTATTTTATTTGCTGATATATAAGTGATACACTCACTGCCTCCATCCGCCATCCAAAGATTTGCCACTAAAATTTAGATCTTGATGACGTCATATTGTTTAGGCCATCCCTCCAATCGGAACCGACTTGTTCTCTCCCATGATTTTCTATGTTCTGCATAATATGCTATAAGAGGTATTTGGAAATTATTATACTTCTAAATATAACGCTCTAACTAATAACAAGTGTAACAATATACCGAATATTTAAAAACAAACATAAATTCTTTCACATATGGTTGTAATTCGCCATCTTAAAAGTGTATACAATGGTACCAATGTCACAAATGTAGTATATTGACTTAAAGAGAAATTTCTTACTAACACTTGTTGCAACGCGCATTTAGTAGAGATAAAACATAGCCGTTTAACCAATGACACACACGCAACGTGTAAGACTGTTGTTATGACTTCTAAGTTTTGTAAACGTCATATTGATTATTTCCTTGCAGAAGCAAAGAGCTGGAAATCGGTACTGTACTCGTAAGTGATCGTGGAGAATTTTAAGATTTAATAATGTTCACGCCGCTGCCAGTATTTTTTTTGCTATGACATTATGCACGAATAATTTGTGTTTCAGATCACTATGGATTTTCTCTATAGTCTGCTGCTTGCCCTGTTCCCACACTGCATATTATCTACGGTAGACCCTAAGAACGTACGATGCTTAGGTGAGATATGTTAGTGTTTAATATTTGTTATATTTCGAACTTAATATTACGTTAGTGTTAGAGACTAACGAAATCGTCGTTTCAGTGTGCCGCAGTGTAGTAGAAGAAATTGACAGTGTAATACAGAAAGTTGATCCAAAGAGAACTATGGAAATTGGAAGTTACAGACTAGATTCGAAGGGAAACCAAAAACAGAAAACTGTAAGTAGCTGTATCCAGCTGTCAGTTCAGTATTAGATTCTCATACACACGTTCTCTTATATGACATTTTTGAACCATTACCGTTTCTTTGAACGCTTAGTGTACTGCAGTTTTTAAGGGGGAGGAAAGGAGATGGGCAGTTTCATATATGATGGCATATATTTACATTCATTTTGATATTTTACATCTTGTTTATGCAATGGACACCAGGTATATAATCTGCCTAGTCCAGATGTTAGCATTGTATGACAATGAAAGAAGTTGTAAACTGTTTGACGTTCCTGTGCAACTTCTGCATGCAGTTCTTGATAAGTTGATTTGAAACTTTTGACTCAGCCAAATTATAAATCAGCCTTCATGTAAATATTGATTTTATGAGGTTAGAGCATCCTTCCATCATCAGAATTCTCATAAAAATGGACAAAAAGTTATGAACATATGTTGGCTGTGTATCTTCCATATACTAAGTGACATATTAGTCTAAACAGTTCAAGTGAAATAGGGAATCTGCTGAAGATGACCCTCATACTCGAAGGCTAGCAGAAGTGACTGCATGAATTGCATCAAAAATTCAAGACGAGGCAATTCAGGACAGGCACTCGAAGGTGTCGCTAGCTGCTCAAGAATGCATTGTGTCAAAACTTTCTGTTTTGGTCATCCTCCAAAATCACCTGAGCATGGCAGGTCACGTCAAGTTCTGAGAATCCTGACTTGACTTCAGAAGCATTGCAGAGTTTAGTATTTGTAATTTTATGAAGTGGAGTCAGAAATATTTCTCTTAACAATTATTACAGGTGATGAAATCTGGAGCCCTCACCAGGCTGCTGAAACAAACGGGGGTGATTGCAGTGGAATCACCCACTTCCAAGAAATGTTGAGCACCACTGTTGGCTAGAAATATCAGCCATGGTGTTCTGAAGCAGATTTTGCCTGTGGACTACATTCCACAAAACACAGTGGTTACTGGGGATACTACTATAGCAGTGCTTTGGAATTTGGAGGCCATTAAGGGTGAAGAGAGGTGATAAGGGGTCTTGTGCAGAAGTCACAAAAAGCTGTCACTGCTGTAAGGGACCATGACTTTGGGAAATTAAACCAGTTACCCTACAGTCAAAATATGTCTGTCAGTGATTATTTCCTGTTCTGTAAACTAAAGAAATACTTGTAGATGTTAGTTTTCAGTCGATGATGAACTTATAACTACGGTTTCAGAGTGGTTTAAGGAGCAAGAAAAAGACCTCTATTTTACAAGATTTTCTTCTCTCTCTGTGAAATAGAGGATGTGTGTTGTTTTCAAGATTATATTGCTAGTGTCCTTCATATATTCACATAGCAAATAGCAAAACGGACTGGGCTTCTTTCCTTTTTACAGATCCATTCATCTAGATACGGTAAAGGTCAAACTGTTCCTGTGCTTAATTTACTACGCAAATGACCAGAAGATGTATGGGGAAGCAGATGTATAGATCCATGGTACTAGTTGGAAGGGAATGATCAGCTTCATGTCCTGGCCTCTTTACCCCTGAGGAAAGGGCCCCCAATTGGATACAAGGCTGGGTGTGCCCCAAAACTTGTCTGGGTGATGTGGAGAGGAGAAAAATCTTGCCTGTGCTGGGATTTGAACTCTGGCCCCTTGGCTGTTCTGACTTCCTCATGTAGATACTATAGATAATATTTAAATGCTAAATAGAAATTGCAAGTTATAATAGATGGGACATTCTGTTTCTCTGAAACCAGTCTGTTCTTCTTACGCCTTAAACTCTAATAACTGTTATCTTCCTGACATCTTCAGCAACATATTTCAGAGCCAGAAGATCACAGTTTTTATGTGTTTATTGTTATAATTACAGTGCCCTTCTTGTGTGCCATGTTTGATTTTACTTCATCCATCCTGTGAAAGCTATTTTTGTTGTTACTACCGATATAACAAAAGTATCCAACTGTACCATAATTCAAGCATTGTCAGCGTTAAGACTGGAGAACCTATTGAAGCTTGTTTGCTACTGTACAAATGCCAACAGTAAAATCTTATCAGTGTAATTAAATTCTGTTCAGTAAGGGGACACTATGGTCTATTCAAGCAGATTCCAGATGGCACTGAAGAAAATAATAAAAATCCATTAAATACTATGTTTCATGCAATATTTGTACAGATATTTATGATTTAAGTTAAATATTAATTTGGACTGCTGCAGTGTTATTTTAGGAGCCTGGGTAGTGTAGTTGGTATAGCGACTGGCTACGGGCTGGATGACAAAGGGGTCAGAGTTGAAGTCCCAGCAGGGTCAAGTATTTCCTCTTCCCCATGTCATCCAGACCAGCTCTGGGATCAAGGCAACCTCCTATCCAATGAGTACCAGAGGCTCTTTCCCTGGGGCTAAAGTGCCTGGGGCATGAAGCTGATCTCTCTCTCACCTTCAGCTAGTGCCGAGGTCAGGAAAACGTGGATCTATACATCTACTCCCCTATATGCCTTCATGGAGTAGTGCTTAATTAGTTAAGCATATTGACAACTTTACCTTTTTATGTAGTATTATTTTAAATTCTACAAGGACTGTGGGTTAGAAAAGGGTTACAATTAATGCACAGATGCAAATTGCATTCTTTTCCTTAGTTCAGTATAACATTACTTCTCAAGGTGTGCACATGTGTGTAAGCACATACCTGTCTGTGCTGATACACATATAAGATGAAAGGTAAAGTTGTCCCTGTGCATAATTAATTAAGCACCACGCTATTAAGACGTATGGTGCAGTGAAGGTATAGTTCCACAATTCTTAGCTTTTGATGTGAGTGGTTGGCTTCTACTATATATTCCACATCTGATCGGCCGTGGGGATTCGTTGTGCTGACCACGCAACACCCTCTATCTGCAAAAGTTGGCACTAAACTTTATCAACAAGCGGCAGTCGCTTGGTCGGTATGGTTTGCTTGAAGACTGAAATCACGGAGTTTGATCTTCGGTATTAAATTGTCATGTTTTTATTCTTGTAAAAGACAGTAAAACATATCATGTCTCCATGGAACTATCGACTTGGTTAGTAACAGCAGGACTGAACAGGTGACTTGTTGCAGGTGCCTTACGCCCGTTCAGAGATGCATCTCACAGATGTTCTTGAGACAATTTGCAATAAGATGGACGATTATGTGAGAGCTACTTACAAGACTTCAGGAGAATTGACACTTTTGCGTCTCATTGGTGCAGATGGACAGATGAATCCAGAACTTAGTCATGTGGACATTGTCCAGGATTCAGATCTCAACAAAAGTCTAAAATTTTATGTAAGTCACACTAATGGTACTTGGTGTTTACTTGCACCTGATCTTTGTTTCCCAGATTATAGAAGGGAAAGAATGCATTTAACCACTTGTTTCAAAAGTGAAATAGAGAGATGACTAGACTTATTAGAGAATTTATATAAAATAATTCATACTAATGATAAATTTAGATAGAAGGCTGTTACTTTATGTTTTCATTTGTGACATAATCGTAATAACCCAATGAAACTTATGTTGTAAGGTATAGATATTTACACCAAATTTCCAAAGTTAATTTGTTGCATTAGGTCTTCTCCGTCTCAGTTTTCAAATTGTAAACAGTATTTAGACACTAACTGATTTGCACCATGAGGATGCAAAGATATAAAATGCAGACATCAGCTGAGATGAGGAGATATGCAGGGTGTTAAAAAAAAAGGGTTACCAGCTTTAAGGGAGTATAGTACTCAAATAAGCAAAAACGTCCCAATCAATGTATGTCCAGATATCAGTGCCTGCTGATATATGGGTGCATTTTGCATTTAACTGGATACTACTAGGATAACATTGCACTATGTATTAACAGGTCAGTTTGTTTACCTTTCATTTGTATGCGTTGTGAATGTCTCGGTAGATGCGATATATGAGGGTAAGTCAATAAGTAAGTTACAAATGGATATAAAACTTAAACAAATAAGAGTACTGATTTCAAAAATGCTTTTATTTCTCAACATAATATCCCTGTACATCGAGGCACGTGTCCCATCATTTCACAAGTCCCTGAAAACCAGCAGCATAAAATTCTTTGGGCTGCTGTCGGAACCAGGTGGAGACTTCCCTTTCTACAGCTTCAATGTTGGGAAAATGTTCAGCTGAAAGATGTTTAAGAGGGCTGAAAAAATGGAAGTCACTTGGAGTAAGACTCATCACCTATGACAGTTCGGGCTAGCATATCGTGTCCATCATGGTAGTGATTGAGATGCTGTAATGCCAGACCCATTCTTTACACTTTGTGTTGTTGGGTCAGCATGCGCGGCACCCATCATGCACAGACTTTGTGAAAACCTAACCTGTCGTAAGACATCCATTTGTTCGGCCCTCTTAAACGTCATCTTTCAGCTGAACATTTTCCCGATAATGAAGCTGTAGAAAGGGAAGTCACCGCCTGGTTCCCACAGCAGCCNGATGTGCATTTCATGCATGGCTGTGCCAGTGGAAATTCTCAGAAAACACATTGCCTCTAACAGATTATCCACAATGCAGAATTCCATCCCACAAATTGTAACCCAAACTTGACCAGCAACTGAGCAATCTGGGTCCTTTTGCTCCATGGATATCGATCCTGGAAGGCCTCAAGCAGTTCAGATTCCCAATATGGAAGTTTGTGTATTACGAAGAGTGGAAGAAGATCCCAGAAGCAGTATGTGAAGAACTGCAGCTGCTGAAGGTCCTGGTATTCCCCTTGTCTGGAGAATTATTCATAAGAATTACTTTACTCCTACCCCATCCAGTGAGTGCAAGCCCTCACTTCTCCAACCATTGTGCAAGGGTAGTGCTTTTCTAGTGGCTTCTCTCAAAATTTGACCACCTCTATGGTCTAGTGGTCAGAGTTCCTGCGTACAGATCCAGAAATCTTGGTTCAATTCCCAGTGCTACCAGATTTTCTGGGAAGTAGTGGGTCTAGAACAGGGTCTACTCAGCCTCATGAGGGTAATTGAGGAGATACTTCAAGTAAATAAATTAACGGCCGTGGGGATTCGTTGCACTCACCACGCAACACCCTCTGTCAGCTAAAGTTGGCACTAACTGTGCCGACAAGCAGCAGTTGCTTAGTCAGTATAGTTCACTTGTAGACTGAAGCCACAGAGTTTGTTTATTTATTTTCTCCCCAAATTCATTGTAACCACATAGTTTTTAGCTAACATCCTATTTACTGATCAAGTGCAATTCACAAGGGATGGTATTGTGTACTTCATAATAGCTTTGTCTGGGTGGATAACAGTCCCCACACCACTGAGGCATCAAAACATATAGGTTTCTGTCAATGTCTAGGTGGGCATCTTAGATGATCAACTCTTAGGACCAGATGTCTTACCTAACAGACTAACAGGTGCAGTGTACCATCATTTTCTTGTGATTGATTTACCAGTACTCCTGGAACATGTGCCTCTTCATCAGCGACAACATGTGGTTTATGCATGATGAGGCACCACCTCATTTTCTCTGCACCTGATCAGACTCTTAGTGAACAGACACTAGGATGAGGAAGCCCAGTCGCCTGACCTGTACAGTCCCTTTACCTTAATCCTTTGGACTTTTGGCCATGAGGACACCTAACGACTTTGGTGTATTTAGCGTTGATCAATGACTTAGAGGTATTACAGCAATGAGAAGAGAATACCTGTCAGGAGATTTGAGTGAAACTAGGAATTTTCGACAGAATGTGCATCTCTATGTGACAAAGAGTGGAAAGTTATTTTGAAATGCATAGGAACCATACAGAGCATATGTTCTAGATATCACATGAATAGCAGCTGTGTTTTGACTGGCATTCGTTTCTGGACATATGTTGTCTGGGAATTTTTGTTCATTTGAGCACTATACTTCCTTAAAGCCTGTGACCAATTTTTTTTAAACCCTGTAACAGACCAGAGAAAGAGTGAACACACAAGTTCTCATGTGAGGAAAGAAAAGAATGCAAAAACTTATCACGAGACATTCCTTGTGGAAGCACCAGCAGATGATGATGCTTTCACTTGTCAAGGGAACAAATAATTCTTTATATAGAAATCATGTTATCTGCATGCTTGCAATGAGTGAAAGTTTGTGGTTTAACAAGTCTTGTATTATGTACAACCTTTTGACATAGTGGCTTTGTTTAGATGGCATTTAATCCAGTATTTATTCATGCCTCTTTCCCCTTCAGTAAACAAAATTAAATGCCTGATAAATTTCCCCTCTCCTCCCATAGAAATATGTTTCCAAACATTAAAATGGTCCCAGTCTTAATCTCGTTATATGTACAGTAAATGAGAAATATTTAAGCAAAAATATAGATGAATTTGATTTGTTTCATTTTGGTCCATCACGCTAACAGTTACAATTATAAAAGACAAGTCCATCCAGTGTGACTATTTCAGTTTTCTCACTTGATGATTCACTAGCCTTACATGTTTTGATCCATTTGGATCATCTTCAGAGGCACCAAACACTTTTTAGAAACCACTATCACAACAGTTGTCATATCAAATACACAGCACAGCACAGCACAGCGGGCCAAGAAATCATAACGGACGATACTAAGAATCTCCCTAATCAAGTTACATAGGAGGCACAACATCGGCCACCTAGAAGAGAGCCGACAGAGGTTATTGACATGAACCGTATGGTTTATGTGTTTTAATTTTTAACAAAGTTTTTAAAACTTTAAAACAACTTTAAATATTTCTGTAACTAGAAAGGCTGCTGTGACTGATAGATGGAACATTGTGTACTTGGACATTACATGTGTATTTGATTGACAACTGTTGTGATAGTGGTTTCAAAAAAGTGTTTGGTGCCTCTGAAGATGATCCAAATGGATCGAAACATGTAAGGCTAGTGAATCATCAAGTGAGAAAACTGAAATAGTCACATTGGACGGACTTGTCTTTTATAATTGTAAAAATATAGATCCTTATGAGACTTTTTCAGAAGTTTGATAAACATTGATACAGAGGCGACATGTACTTCTTTTTCCATGTGCAGTGTGAAGGGATTGTGGAGGAATATGAAGAGAACATCCTGCGATTGTTTGCCAGAGATGCGGACAATATTGACATCAAACTATGCTCCACTGAGGCAAAATTGTGTTCCCACTCCGAGTCAGATGTGGATGACTATGAGTTTGAGGATAAAGATGAACTGTGATGATGTGTTGAAGTGTAGACAGTGTAATTAAATTTTTTACTATTGCATTCCTTGTTCATAACTGTAATATTTTTTTACCATAAATGTATTTAATATGTCTTCCAGGGTGTTTAAATTGAAATACAAGAATTATTTTCTGTTACTGCATTGTTATAACAATAAAATAGAAAGTTTTCAGCTGATGTTTGACATTCAGTGATCAACTTCCCTAAAACCATGCTGATGAAAGTGAATTTCCCTTCATCCCCCAAAATTCAGTGTTTACTCATGACACATTTTGTGAGTTATCTTTTTCTCTAAACACAATTTACAATTATTGAACCTTTGGATTAAAGTGGGGTCCCTAGTTACCATGGAATGGTGTGTCCTCTCATTACGGATGGAGAAGATGGCCTCTATATATAGAGGGTAACTGTGAACATACTGCATAAGCAATCACAGACATCTGACAAGGGGCTAAGAATTCTTTACTATAAAAGAAAACACTTGTTACAAAATGTTACACAGTGCTTTGGATTTACATGGATTCATGGAAATATATACAGTTGAGCCATTACTACCTAACACTAGCCCTTTTGAGGTTGAAATTGCGAATGCAAAGTTGTAAAGGTATAAATCACCAGATACTGATCAAATTCCAGGAAAACTGATTCATATTCATATTTATTTGCATTCATACTGTTACAGCTGCAACACTTGAACAAGTCAACTCACTAAATACATCATTGTTAAAAGCTCTAAAATCCTAGAATGTATTAGACTAAAAATAAAACTGTACTTGCCTTACAACATCACTAAAAATTTTAAAAATATAACAATAACTACTACAATTCCCTTTTCTTCTCTTTTTTTGTTAATTAAAAAAACCTTGCTATGCTTCCTCATGTCCCTGTTGAAGAAACTCATTCAATGTATGGAAAGGACGATCAAATAAAAATAATTTTAATTTATGTTTAAATTCGTTACATCCCTTTGACTTTTTAACTTCCAAAGGAAGTATATTATATAATTTAATGCCCACATTAATAACACTTTTCTTAAAAACTGATGTGTTACATTGTTGTACATGAAGATCATCTTTCCTCCTAGTATTATACTCGTATAAATCAGTATTTCTCGTAGTGTATATATTATATCTCTTAAAATAACACAACACCTCTATGATGTACAAGGACGTAATAGTTAAAATCTTCAATTCTTTAAATAAAGGTCTGCATGACACTCTGTTATTTACACCTTTCATGAAACGAAGCATCCTTTTTTGTATTTTAAAGACTTTAATACTTTTATTTTCTCCTCCCCAAAAAATCAACCCATAACTTACCAACGATTGAAATTTGGCAAAGTATATATTCCTGAGTATATGTAAACTTACCTCATCTTTCAAAGATTTAATAATATAACATACCTTATTCAATTTTGAACACAAGCACTGAATATGTACACTCCATTTGAGGTTTTGAGTTATATTAATACCTAAAAATCTAAACTGAGATGTATACTTAATTTTTATATTATTAAAAATAATATCTGGCCCTGAGATGTTATGCGGTTTCTTTAACCGGAATAACATAGCTTTAGTTCGCTTTGAAACACAAGGTGAAACATTATGTTCTGAGATCCACAAACTTACTAATTCTGTTTGGAATATGGACTTACTATTGGAACTTGTATAGGGCATTGTGTACCAGCACTACCAGAAAATATATGGCAGAATATTACTGATGGGTTTACTGCCATGTGTCTACAAGTAACTGAACAATCAAGGCAGACATTCATAAAACAATAGCAACTGTGCATTAACTGTAACAGTCAGCACTTCAGGCACCTTTTGCAAATCCGTGTATTGGCTCAAAATGCGAAGTTAATCATTCAGATTGATATTTGAGATATTTCACTTCTATTGTATATTGCTGAATTCTATTATAATCAGAACGGTGCTTTGTGATCAGAGTTTTTTTTTTCCTTGGCACTACAGCCCCAGTGGGCCTAGGCCCACCTCCATGAACTCCGTTCACTTCGGTTTTTCTCGATCTTACACATACGGTAGGACTCCTTGGGTGAGTGATCAGCTCATCGCAAGGCCTCTAACTGTACACAAACACAGAAAAACGCACACAAACATCCATGCCCTGAGTGGGATTCGAACCCATGATCCCGACTTCCGAGCAAGCAAAGACAGTGCATGCTTTAGACCGCTCGGCTACCGTGACCAGCTGATCAGAGTTTAGGATGTCAAAAAATAGGGTGCCATTTGAAAACATGCTAGTGGCCTTGATATCTCATTAAAAATGATTATAAACAAATTGTATACAGTATTACTTGTCCCCTCTGAAACAAAACAACATCATGGAAAACTTTTTATTCAGTGCTAAATAAAAGGGTTACTTCAAGTGATCAAGATAAATGGGACACCTGTATAATAAACAAGATTTGATAATTAACCTAATATATGATGACCAGACATGAATTAACAATGAATACAGTAGCCGAGTGTTATTCCTTTAATGTTTCAGCTACCATATATGGGGATATTGGTCTGGAATACAACATATCCCATGTGTTTTCTAGTCACCTATGAATGTCTGATATACCCTCTTGTCCAATTTCAGTAAATGAATTACAAAATTTTCAAGTGTCTACATAAGTGGGCAATTTTCTGTTCTAATTCCTCACAGAACTTATCCTTTACATAATTACACTAATCCTCAAATAGGACATCTGCATATTACTATGTCAACATCACACCACCATCCTCAAGAATTATATGGCATCCTGTGTTAATGACGCTACATTCTTAACTGCTTCTTCACCAAACCAATTCTGAAGCTGTTGTCCTTGTTTCATTTCCATAGTCAAATGCTTCTCTTTTCTGTGAATACTCTAACAGCAGGCCATACACTCACTATGTTATCTGCAGACTTGAACCATAGCAAGGAAGCCTGTGACTAAGGTCTGCAAAGAACAAAGCTGTCATCAGTCAGAACATGTTTATGGATAAAGACATTGTCAAGAAGTCCGTGGATGTGACCTTGGTCAAAGTCTTTCACTTTGGCTAAAACCTTTACCAATAAATTTTCTTATCCACAAGGAAGTTATATGATGGTAATTTTTAAAGCAAGAACCATTTTGTTATAAACAAAAGAAAACTTTATTCATCCAAATAATTTTAATGTCACTACTAGTTAACAACATAATTTTATTTTTCTATGTAGTCCCCATTGCAATTCAGGGATCTGTTCAGACATTGCACGAGTCTGATGATCCACTGATCACAGAAGTTGTCTGCCAGTCAATTTAACCAATCCATAACTACCTGTTCATCTGTGAGCATTGTTGGAACCCATCTGGCACAAATTTTTGTGTATTGGAGTTGAACTGAGACAGTCTCATAGAGGACAGATTGTGAAACTTCATGAAGCTCATTAATAGTGAATTGCCTGTTTTCATGAATGTAAGCATCAACCCTGCCTTTCAAATCCTTGGTAATGACAGATGAGTGTCCAGATCGCGTTTGATTGTGCAAATGTCCTTCCCCCATTAAACAAATGACACCATTTATGAACACTCCCCTTGTTTGACCCCTTCCCCATACACTTTGACAAGCTGGCAATGGATTTTGGCAGGGCAACTGTTTTATGCATTCAAAAATCAAATCCCTGAATGCACTTCACAATCAATGGGATCAGTGGTTGACATGGTTCTTTATAAAGCACTGTGACACAGCAACCAGTTCACTCAGTGGCTCAGCAAACACTGTGGACATGGCAGTCCTTACTTAAAAAATTACCTATGTATATTCACATAACCAAAGTGCTACATTTTGTGTCATGGTGTGCGTCAGTAACATGCCATTAATGAATATATCGAAATGGCATTCTAAGTGAGTTGGAGAGTTTATTGTGTGAAGAGCAAAAATATAATGATGCACCTTTTAGAAAAAGAATAAATAGCCTAACTCTAGAAATCATTCAAAATCTGCATGTGTGTGTGCATGCATTCCCATGCATATGTCTGCTGCAAAAGCTCTGTGTGTATGGTTGCCTATCAGATGATCTGTCTGCCACGTGCATTCCTAAAGGCAGGCTTATATGCAAATTGTGCTTGATGACTTCTAAGCACTGACTCCAAAGCAGCTATGCTATATAAATAGCAAACATCTCAGGTGTCAAGTCCATTGTCCTCCAAATGATTTCATAGTAGAACATTTTTATGAAGAAAATTTGTTAGTCCTATGATGTAGGATCACTCATTGTTAATTACCTGCAATTGCTTATTTAATATACCGACAGCCATATTTTTCATGTTCAAACTGAGGACACACCAAGCTAAGTTCCATGAAAAAACTCAAACTGCTGTTATTCTTTAAGCATAATTAGCACTAAACTGAGACTTGTGGAGGATAACAGGTCAGACTAGAAATATGTATGGCCTAAAATGTTCAAAACTTATCATCTGCCAGAAAGGCATGTTAAAATATATTGCGTGTACTGTCTGATAAATAATTTATTTAATGATTCTTGAATATTTGTGATAACGGTCAATTTATTACACAAGTATTAATGTCAGACATTATATATTTGTCTGGAACATATGGACAATGTGTAACATAATAGTATTTGTATACTAATTTATTTCATGTTAACCTTAGGGACCCAGTGCACCTAGTATTCTCCTTGATGTCCGTATTTTTTATTAATTCCTGGTATAGTTAACAGTGCCATTTCAATATACAAGATTTTCTACAGTGATGAAGATTCATACTGTGGTCTTCTGGTGTTATCATACTGTAAATTCAGAATACTAAAATCACAATATCCTTGTCACTATTCATTTCGTGAAACATTAGTAGAACCCTATCTACTTTTCAAAATATTACAAATTAAAAAAACACAGAACTCTATTCACTAGTTTCATCTCCAGTCTGTTCATCTGAGCCAAGAATGTAAATTGGATTTATGACCTGCTGCAAAGAGTTTTCATCCCTACAAGAATGAGAGGAAGAAAATTAAATAAGATGTTTGGCAACCTATATTCCCCATAAACCATTATTGGAACAATTAATGTTGGATCATTATATATATCACCAGAATATTAAGGGACTAAGGAATAAAACAATTGCATTAATAAACTCATTACTTCCAAAACTC